AAATAGCAGAGGGGATAGAATGGAGCCCTGTGGTACCCCATGGCATATAGGAGCTATCCATGGTGTTGAACCTATATTGGAAGTGGCCTTCAGAAGAATGGATAGCTACAACAGAAGCTCAAAACAAAAGCTGCAATGAAAGAAGAGTCCCAGTGAGATTAGCATCTCCAGTGTTGGCTATGGGATGCTTTAATTCATCAACACCTTTTCAAAGCAGCTTTTGGTAAAGCCTCTTGCTTTAGCATCTTCCAAATAGAATAATTAACATTTCTTAAGAGTCAGTGTGGCTAGTGGTGAGAGTGTTGAACTGGGATTTGGGAGATTCACATTCTAAGTCCCTCCTAGACCATGAAGCTTACCGACTTAGTTTAGCATACCTCACAAGATGGCTGTAAGAAGTATATGGAGAATTATGTAAACTGTCTTGGTTTCCTTTCGAGAAGAAAGTGGGAAAGAGCAACTGATCTTCACCAAGTGGTATTCCATAAAAACAAATAATTAACAGTGGCCAGAATGAGAGCTAATGAGGTGCTCAAGTGCTATTGGGAGAAAAGAGTGGATAATAGAGTCATAGCTTAGACAGTGGTCCGCGATTAAATGCAATTTAAAAGGTGGAAGAATGAAATGTTTAACTCAGTCTCGAAGGTATGTAGTCAGAAGAAACCTCCCCTGATTTTTCTTCCCAGTAAGCACCTTCAGGAGTGCTGCCTTAGGCGACTCGCCTGCTTAATTTTATCATGTTGTAAGCCGCCCCGAGGTTTCGGCAAGGGGCGGCATAGAAATGCTATAATAATAATAATAATAATAATAATAATAATAATAATAATAATTTAAACGTCTGTTGATTAGAACAGGAAGTGCAGCTTGCGGCTACAGTCTGACAAGACAGAAGGTCAACTGCTTTTTCGACAGATAGAATAAATACAAACAGACAATCCCGATTTCCCGCATTCTTATCGATTGGAGGGAAGGTCACAAATTCATGAAAAAGCGGTTAAACGAGCAGTGAGAGATATAGGCCATCTTGCAGGACAGCCCCTTTTGCCCGAAGTAAAGATGGTTCCGGAGGCACGGAGAGTCGCGTCACGTGAGGCCAGAGGCGGGAAGGGCGCTGTTGGCCTCGCTCTACCTTTCTGCTCTCTCGGTTCTGGAAAGCAGCGATGGAGAAGTTTGCAAGCGCGGGCAAAGGCAACGGCCTACGCCTGACGAAGCCGGCCAGACCGGGCGACTTACTGCATCGCGCAGAGCCTTTCGCCTACGTCGTCACCAAGAAGTGCCTGGGAGGCGTGTGCGAGCGCTGCCTGCGCAGGTATTGGCTGAGTGGAGGCTCCTTCCCTTCCTCTTGCCGGCTTGGCTCCTCGCTCGCTGCCGCGCTCGGCCCCCGGCTGCAAGCAGAGAAAGGGGCTGCAGGGTTCGCCGCTTTTCACAGCTGCATCGCTTCATAACCTGTAGCGCCAACAGTCGCGGCTGTATGCAACAGCGCATTCTCACGTGGGCAGGAGGCTTTACCTGTTTTGCTTCTGCCTGTAAAAGGCATAGAAGCCTGGCTTGGGAGTGGAGTAGAGGAATTCAGGACCTCTGGGGGCAATTGTAGCTGTCACTGCTGTCGTAGAAGGGCAGTTTAAATCCGGTGTTCTAGGTAACCACATTCACAGAGATATGATATGGTTGAATCTGCTGCCCTCTCGCTGCTGAAAGCTTTCCATATTCATCAAGATAGCCTTTTGCAATTGTTTTTTGCAGAGTTTTTATTGCTTTGACTACCATTATCTGTGACAACATAGATATGAGTTCCTCACATGTGTTGATGTAAATAGGGGCTGACAGAAAGGCTTTTCCCCATCATTTGATTATTCAAACAGTTACGCAAACAGAAAACCATCAAATACTGAACTCCCATTGAAAAGCCGTACAAAATAACGTGAGATGGCAGAATCCTCCTAGATGGTGTCAGAATACTGCTGGCCCATCTGCTTGCAAGCAGTTATCAACTGGGATTGATGGTCAAGTGCAGATGGGTTGGGAAGGGTCATAGTTGTGGAGCACACAGCCTGCTGGCTGAAGGTTTTGATCTCTGGTAGGACTGGAAAAATTCCTGCCTAAAATGTTGGAGACGGCAGTGTTGAGTACACTGATTTAGATGATCAGTGAACTGATTCACTACTCGTATCATATGTTTCTACATTTTTGGGAGTTATTTGCACAAACAAAATGGTTAGGTGTGAACTTCTTGTAATTGCTTTTCAGAAAAAAAAGCACACTACATCAGAGCAGCAGTATATGAGGACAGCCCCCTCCTGCCCAAATTCCCTAGGAAGTAGTGTACATAAATATGCTGCCTCTGATAGTGTATAAATATCAAGAGTAGTAGCTATTGATAGTCCCCTTAATGAATTTGCCCAATCCTCTTTTAAAGTCTTCCAGGTTGGTGGGCATCACTACTTCTTATGGAACTGAATTCCATAGTTTAACTATGCTGGACGAGACATTCTTTCTTTTATCTTTCCTGAATCTCCTCACAGTCATTTTCATGGAATGCTCCCAGGTTCTAATATGGGAAAGGGAGAAAAAAAGCTGTTCCACATTCTCTGCACCATGCATAATTCTGAACACATCTATTATATCCTTTTGTTGCTCAGTTGCAAAGTTGCGCCTGACTCCTTGTGACCCCATGGACAACATTCCTCCAGGTTTTCCTGTCCTCCACCATCCCCCGGAGTATGCCCAAGCCCACACACACTTCTGCAGTGACCCCATCCAGCCACCTCGACCTCTCCGTCCCCTTTACCTTTTGCCTTCAATCGTTCCCAGCATCAGGGTCTTTTCCAATGAGTCCTTCCTTCTCATTAGGTAGCCAAAGTATTTGAATTTCATCTTCAGTATCTGACCTCCTAAAGAGCAGTCAAGGTTGATTTCCTTTAGGATTGACTGATTTGATCTCTTTGCAGTCCAAGGGACTCTCAGGAGTCTTCTCCCATGGGGTTTTCATGACAAGGATACTGGAGTGGGTTGCTATTTCCTTCTCCAGCGGATCACCTTTTGTCAGAGCTCTCTGCTATGATCTGTCCATCTTGGGTGCCCCTGCACGGCGTAGCTCATAGCTTCCTTGCGTTATGCAAGCCCCTTCATCACGGCAAGGCAGTGACCCATGAAGGGGATCTCTCTTCTTACCCCTTTTCTAAGCTTAACCATCTCGTTGCAGGGAAGTTGCTCCAATCCCTTCATCATTTTAGTTGCTGTTTTCCACACTTTTTCCAGCTCTGCAATATCCTATTTTAGGTGTGGTGAACAGAACTGTACAGAATATTCTAAGTGCAGCCTCACCAAAGATGTGTATAATGGAAGCGTGATAGTGGCAGTTTTATCCATTCCTTGCCTAATCGTGCCTTGCACAGAGTTTGCCTTACTCACAGCAGTGGCTCACTGGGTCAACATTTTCATTAAAGTGTGAACTGCAATCCCAAGATCTCTTTCTTGATCAGGCATTGGTAGCTCAAACCTCATCAGCTTATACTTGAAGTGGGGATTTTTTACCCCAATATAGAGTACTTTACACTTGCATACATCAAACCACACTTTCCATTTTGAGGTTCTTTCCCTTTTTTAATTTTTAAAATTAATTTTTATTCTAAAATACAACTACAAACACAACTGAGAGAAAAACATGTAAGATTAAGCATGTAATTAAAATCTTAAATGTACCATGCCCCTCACTACCAGGACCATAGAATATATTTTAAAAATGGAAAAATTCATGCAAATGTTCTTTCAGGACATTTCCCTCTTGCAAAACTGCAATGATTTTTTTAACAGTTCAAATCCTTTCCCTTTTTAAAACACATATGTAATAAATACATCCCAAATCTCATTAAACCTAATTTTTCATTATATGTCCTTTTCTCACTTTAGTATCATAGATTAATTTATCATAATGGCTATATTCCAAACTTCTCTGTACCAGTCACAATTAATAATCATATTTTACTTTCCAGTTCTTCACTACAATTAATCCTACAGCTGTTAATAAATTTATGTCCTTTCTCCTAGCTTGGAGAGATCCCTTTGGAGCTCTTCATAATTCTTTTATGTTTTGACCAGCTTAAATAATTTGATGTCATAAGTAAAGTTGGTCATATCAGACAGTGTTTAGCTCTGGAAATGACAAACTCATAAGAAACAGTATTCAAGCAACTGATTAGACTACATGGACATCACCAGCTGGCCAAAATAGAAATAGACTAGGTGAGTGGAAATAGAAGATGGAGAAGCAGTATTCTTGCTGCCAGACAAGACCAGGAACAGATTGTGGTCATGAGCAGGATCTCTTAATATGAGAGTTCAGAGCAAAGCTGAAAAAAGATCACTAATAGAAACATACAGTGGTACCTTGGCTCATGAACTTAATCCGTTCCATGGCTCTGGTCGCAACCCAAATTGGTTGTGAGCAAAGTCAAATTTCCTCATAAGATTCAATGTAAATAAGGTTAATCCATCCTGTAACCATTTTTTAAAATCACAAAAATGTGAAACAAAGTGACAAAGAACATCAAAGGTCGCACCCCCCCGCACGACCCGTTTTCCCTGCACAAGTGCGACCACGATCGCAGCCATCTCCCCCCTCCCCACCCAAGCATGATCACAGTCGTCACCCAGTCGTCATCCGATGCGGAGTTCGGACCTGAGGCAATTTTTTTCTGAAATTTCTGTTCGCGACCCGATTTGGTCGTGAACTGAAGTGTTCATGAGCCGAGGTACCACTGTAGTGCCAAAATACTTCAGTAACATTTCTGAGGAATTTAAAGAATAGATTTGCATTACTCAGCATAATTGACCATGACCCAGACTGAAACCAGAGATATTAGGGAAGAATGCCAAAAGTCCATTTATGTGGCAAAAAGGGGCACAAAGCCTGGATGGATCATGGAAGAGACATTGACAAATCAAAGGCAAAAGCTGAGAGAAACAGGGTCAGAATCCTGAGTTTAACATTTCAGTGGCTATCATGTAGGGACAAAAAGAATTATTACAATGGGCAGTGCAGAGAAATAGAATATAACAACAAAGGATGGAAAACAAGGGACCTCTTTCAGAGGATCCGGGAAATCAAAAGGAAATTCAACCCTAGATTAGGAATGTGGAGAGACCAAGAGGAGAACATACTATCTGAACAGGATAAAATAAAGAGAGACAATATAAAGAAGAACTGTACAGAGGAGATAGAATTTACAGCTGAGTCATGTCAATGGACAACCCAGTTTAGAGCTACCTATCATTTCTGGGTGTAGTTTTCTATGATATTTCCTTGAAATGTCAGTATGAACAGGTTAGTGAGAACTGACCATAAGACCATTCATCGTAATTTTGTAGCACGGTAGTCTTCGAATAGCACCTTTATTTAACAGAGGTTTCTGCAATAGTATGCTTCATTTCTTTCAGTCAATGTCCAGAAGATGGCAGCATATGAATACTGAATGAAGTAATTTATTATACAAGGCTTGTGATATATATATAAAATGAGACCTAATTTTTAGCAGTGCAAGTAGTCATGCTGAATGTTGTGGTCAGGGAAACACTGCCAAAGGTAGTAGGATTAGGTTGTAAGGGAGAGACTAGTTATTGGACTTGATGTGACCTACCATTTATGTTGTAAGGGGCCAGTATGTCACTGACTTATTAGTGGAACTGACTTTAGAAGTTTGAATTTGAAAAATGAATGCAGCTGTCAGGAAAGGGCTGACTGATTCTAGAAAATATTTATTAAAATTTACATAATCTGCCTTTTTAAGAGTTACACATCCTTTCAAGGCAGCTTCCAAAATCAAGTATGAATAACAATCCACTTAAAACATTAGTAAGAGCCAGCAAGAATTCACAAAAACTTTCAACCCAGAAATATAGTAAAACCCATTCAAGTATAGCTAAAAACACTGTAGCCCAAAAAAATGCAAAAAGGTAAAAGGAAATGAGTAAGCCTTTCCTAAAATCATGTAATTATGACACTTGATCTGCCTTCCACCGGTGTGCTGAGAAAACCCTGCCTCATGGCTACCAGTCTAGTTCTTACTGGCAAGCACATGAGGGGGTCTTAGGTGCTGAGCTGAAGGTGCAGGCAAGATGATAAAGGTGAAGGCAGTCCTTGGACCCAAACAGTTTAATGGCTCAAAGGTTAGAACAAACACTTCAAGCTGAGATTAAACATAAATGGGCAACAAGTACAATTGCAGTATAGGTGTTGTGCAATCGGACCACATGGCCCCTTCCCCTGTACCTGGGTGGCCACCCTCTATACCACCTGAGTTTCCAAGCTCT